GTAATTATTATTAGTTTTGGGGTGACTGGTAAAAGTCTGGAAAGAAGAAAGGATGTGGCATCATCTTCTGAGAACTAACCATCTAGATGAAAATACAATCAGAGGCATTTGAAAGGGACTTGAAGCCATCACACAAATATCTCCCAATGAAAAGGTGAAGGGAATGCTGGCTGGGCTTGAAATGAAGGAGAGGTCTGTAGGCAGCAGTGGCTGCCTGAAGGAGGCAGTCCTGGACTCACTTGGAAATAGAAATTACCACACAGATTCTTGGTTAACTCCCCTTCTAACCAGGCTAAGTCTCCAGAGGTGTGTTGCTCCCCAGTAGCTTTTCACCTTTTGTGGAAGACCAGAGCTCCCCCAAATCACTAAAGAGCCAGATCTTGCATCACAGATTCAAAATTACCCCAGGACAGAAACTTGCAGGAGGACACGTGAAGGTAAGGAGGCCCAATCAACCTCAACCGAAGACCTCCCAGAGGCTCTGGGAAGCTCCATGGAAAGGAATATGACTCACATGCTCTCAACTGACCCCCTGCCACTCAGTACATTTCTCCAAAACATATCCACACCTTGTTCCCATGCATGGAGACTTCCAGAAAACCCAGTGCTGAGAATCTGGCAGAGATGTTGCCCATAGGAAACCCCCATGCCTTCTTCATCACTGCTTTCATGCCTCAAGTGGATGTCCAATTGGAGATAATAAATGTTTACTGGACTGAACTGGGAGGAAACAAGGACACAAGAGGATGAGACTAGGGTATGGAGTGTTTAGGGGTTGGGCAACTTAGCACAGATGTTGGACAGGTTGCACTGAACCTATGGCTCCAGCCCTTGAGGGTTTATTCAGGTTCTCCTAACCCTCAGTCCCAGCTGCCATGACATGACTCCCAACCTGCACTCCTGCCCAGCTACCTTCCCACCCCATGGTTATTATGTGTCAGCGCATGCTAGGGCTCCACATTGTATCTGCATGCCTGTCCACAATATCATTATTGCCACAGAGTGTGGTCATTGTCATAATAAAGGTAGATATCTGACTGTGCATGGGCCAGAGAGGTCAACCAACCAGGGATCTCCATTTCCCGTGTGTCCAGCCAACTAATCTCTCACCCAGGCAGGCAAGGAGAGAGATTGCAGCACAGGCTGGGATGCTGGGAAGCAGGGCCTGGTTCTTTGCTGTGGGAATGGAAGACACTGCGCTCAAGTCCACATCTTTGATGACAGCAACTTTGGGAAATGAGGGGCAGTTGGGGTGCCAGTTAATTTTACGCATCAGCTTGGCTGGGCCACAGGATGTTCAGGTATCTCGTTAAACGTTTCTGGGTGTTTAGCTGGGCATGGTGGCTCATGTCTATAGTCCCAGCTACTTGGGAGGGTGAGGTGGGAGGATCGCTTGAGCCCAGGAGATGGAGGTTGCAGTGAGCTGAGATCATGTCTGGATGACAAAGTGAGACCCTGTCTCAAAAAAAAAAAAAAAAAAAAAAAATCTGGGTGTGTCTGTGAAAGTGTTTTTGGACAAATTTATCATTTGAATCAGTGGACTACACTGAGCATACACTGAGCAGACTGCCCTCCCTGGCATGGGTGGGCACAAGCCCTTCCGATTCTCAGATCTTCAGATTCCCAGTGGAACTATATCACCAGCTTTCCTGGGATGTATGGCAGCTCATGGGATTTCTCAGCCTCCATAATCGATGTGAGCCAATTCTTCATATATATGTGTGTATGTGTGTGTGTATACATACACATGTGTTATATCACGTTTTATATATCAAGATTTATACATACATCATTTATACATACATGTTTTATATATCAAGTTTCATACACACACACACGCGCACACACATCATAATAGTTGGTTAGCCACAGGTAGACAGGCAGACCCTAACCCAAGTTGACACTTTAGCTACAGTAGTCAAAAGAGACAAAGGGAAGGCTTGGGAAGTGGAGGCTGGGGCTACTCCCTGAGCCCGTGCAACAAAGACTTTCATAAAGAGTCCCAACCATACTGGAGGTGAAGAGAGTTCTGTGAGGGTCCTGGGCAGGACTGGGTGCCACCTCTCCTCTTTACTAACTCTGCTGCCAAGGCACATATCGGGATCATGGCCAAATCATCCATGCCATAGTATTTTCTGACAGGTTTGAAGAAACTGAATTCTTGGACTTGGAGTCTGAAGGAGTTTGAGTGGGGAATGGGAATATTTTATAGCAACCACCATATCAACCCCTTGCAATTTCCTTGCCTTGGTATAGCAAGATGCATTTACACAGCTCTCACAAGTTGGACCACTCAGTTCTCACCCACCTTGGTTGGATCTCTGTCCACTTCCCTTCCTGTCCTGTCATGATCTTCCTGACCCCAATACCAGTCACCAGACACCACCTATTATTGTGTTAAACCTGTTCCCACTTACAGAGCCAGGCTTACATGTCCTCATATTGATTCTTGCCAGTAATAGAATTCAGACAGCGCTTTTGAAGCTGAGCTGGCATGAGCTCATTTTCTGGTCTTATGGCAACTGCTGGGACTGCCTGCCTGGTTTTTGAGCCCATACCCTGACCTCGGGAGTCTGTGTGCTCCCTGTTTTATTATTATTATTATTATTATTATTATTATGGGTCTTGTCTCACACTGCCCCCAAACCTCTGTTCTATTTATCCCCCCTTTATGTCCACCTCCCCCAGTGCCCACCACCATCCCTGCTACTGAATCCCACCATTACCACATCATCCCCACAAAACCCTGCTATCTCTCATTGCTATGCGTTCACCAGCCCCATCAGCCCTCCTGGGCTTCAGAGCATCCTGGCTGCGTCTTGCCTGCTGACTCCCAGGTCCTTGTCCCTCTGGCCCTCTTCAGTGGCCACTCCACCTTGCTCCCAGCCTTTTCTTGACACCCTCAGCTCCGACTCCCCATCCAGCCTGCGCACTCCACATAACCCTCCATCCAACATGGCACCCCTCTGCCAGCCCACTCCCCACTTCGCCTGTGACCCAGCAACTAGCACACCAGTCCCCACAGGGAGGGACCGGAGGGGTGAAAAAGAACCAGCAGAACAATGGGCTATTGACTACGAATTCCATTTCTCTTCCCACCTCTGGTTATTTAAACAGTTAGAAGACAGGCTTTGCTCACTATATGTATGCACACATATTGGCTACACGATCTCCTATCCTACTTATCCTCGGGAATTTGTTTCAAAGCCGCCTTTTGGAAACTCCTAAGTAGGATGTAATTCGGTGGATTTTATGTTCTGCTCACTGTCTGGCAAAGCAGTTTATTCCACAAACCCCTGGCATACGGGGGAAAGAGCACGCATGAAAAATGGGGCCGCTCTTTGCCCAAACACCCTGATATTGTCTCCACCTAGGTTTGAGAAGAGACCTCCTTGCCTAGACAGGGTCTCTGTAAAGTTTCTTAATGTCTAAATTTTTACATTCTCAACTTCAATAACTTGAGTTGTTAGTATGAAAGAAGCAGTCTGCAAATGGCATTTAAAAGCAAATTGGATTTTCTTCCCCCAGCTGATACAGCCCTCGGTTCTGCTTGCCAGAGAACGCAGTTTACTTCTGTCTGAAGCAGCCATTTGTCATGTGTCAGAGGATCTGAAATAAAATTCCTTTGTGTACGACTGTCTAATAAAGAGGGTCTTAATGTTAATAATTCACCTCTAAATGCCGTTTACACACAGTTTCTCTCGCACCTTCAATCTAAGGTATTGAAGCTGAAAGGTGAATGAGGATTTTCTGAAGATCCTAAATATGTGTTCCGGAATAACATTTATATCAAACAGTGCCTTCTTTATATTCCAGGCCAGGGACTCTGCTTGTAGGTGTTAATGTGTATCAGGAAAGCCATCCGCTTTTGGGGGGGTCGGGGGGAAGAAGCTTAAATCCTTGGGACCCAGGAAGGGGGAGGGCAGGAGGATGGGTTTGCAACAGAGGAAGGAAGAGAACAGAAATGGAACAAAGCTGGGACATTCAACATTCAACAAACATGCCCAGAGGGACTTAACGTGCCACCTTTCTCTTTGGCAGTAGGGTCACAGGCACAGACCCAAAGGCTTTCTCGCCTTCAAGACCTTTCTGGAATGAGGGATGGCCCAAACTTACACATTAATTGACAAAGAGAGACATATTCACCTCCATAAACAAGCTTTATGAGCCACCTGCCCCGGCCCTCCCATCCCCAGCAGGTGAGGGATCCCCTTCTCTGACTCCTACGGCCTCTCAGGCACATTTCTTTTAGGCTCTCATCACTGCCACGTGCATGGGTCCCCATTGGACTGGGAGGTTCAAGGTCATGGACCAATCTCTTTATGTCTTTATCCTCAAGGTTCAGCACAGTGCTCATCACTTAGAGATCACCAAATGAGTAGGTGTTGAATAAATGAAAGGCCCAGTCCCTGCTACCAAGTTGCTCACAGTCTAGGGCAGGAGACAGAAGCAAATAGAGGGTCACAGTGCAGGCTGAGGATGCTGCAGAAAGAGGTGACCCCAAACCTCAGGCTTCCAGCAGCAAAGGCTCACTTCTTACTCACCTTCATGACCATCACAGGTTGGTCATCACCCTCTGCTCCATGACCTCTTCACTTCAGGACCAAGGTGGAAGCAGCATCCAGGAGCATGCCAAGTCCTGGGCGTGCAGGTCTTATGGCGTGGGGAAAAGAGAAACAGTGGAGCAACATGGAAGGGTCTTGAAGTGCCTGCTTCAAAGTGGCACATGTCTGGCCAAGCTCAGTGGCTCATGCCTGTAATCCCAGCATTTTGGGAACCCAAGGCAGGAAGATCCCTTCAGACCAGAAGTTCAAGACCAGCCTGGGCAACAGAGAGAGACCCTGTCTCTACAAAAAAAAAAAAAAAAAAGTAATTAGCCAGGTGCAGTGGTGCATGCCTGTAGTCCCAGCTACTGGGGTAGCTGAGGTGCGAGGATCACTTGCACTTAGGAGGCCAAGGCTGCAGGGAACCATGATCATGACACTGCACTCTATCCTGGATGACACAGTGAGACCCTGTCTCTAAAAAAATTATAAATAAATAAATTAATTAAAATTTTCAAAAAACAAAGTCGCACATGTCTCTTTCACCCACATTTCATTGTCTGAAACACGGCACATGGCCCAGCCTGCCATCAGGCAGCCAGGAAATCTCCATCAGGCTCAGGATGGCCTGGTCGGGAGAGGTAGCCAACACTGAGCCATGGTACAGACAACCACAAACACTGTGATAGCAGAACACCCCTGGGCTCTGTGATCAAGCCAGGAGTGCTGGAGTTGCTTCCAGGGATGCAGCACTTGAAGTAAGCCAAGTATGAGTGGGATTCAGCCATTCCTGCTAGAGGTGGAAAAAACCAAAAGTGAGGCTTTGGGTGATGGCTGCCTGAGCTGGCTCCCACCCACAAGGAAGTGGCCCCAGAGGCCTTGTGGAAGCCTGTGCATTTCCCACATTTCCAGGGATGGAAGAAGAAGCAGCTGTAGTTGGAGATACCAGGAACTCTGCCCAAAGGCCAGTTCAATGCTGGGATGTCACCGGCTTCATCCCAACTAAGGATGTGCAGTCTCCAAGAGCACAGGCAAGGCCTTTGGATGCCCTCCTTGCCCCCTGACATAGTCCCCAGATTCTGAGAGGTTCAGAGCCCTCTCCCTGCAGACACAGGGGTTGGGAGAGGACAGCCATAAAGGAAGGCAGCAGAGACACAGACCCTCTGAGGGACCTGCCTGGGAGACTGTGCTCATTTTCCCAGGCAACCACATCAGCCTGTGCTGGAGATGTCAATGATGGAGGACACCTTCACAGCCCATCCAAGGGGAAATGGCCAAAGCCATGCAGCTGCTGCCCACACTGCGTGTGCATTGCCAGGACACCCTGGAATCCACCTGACTGGACCAGAGGCGGGCACCCAACCAAGGGGCAGCCACACCTTGGGAGGGACAGTGACCTGTTAAGGCCTGGTGTTGGAGAGGGAAGCCGAGCCCTCTCACGATTTTCAATTAGAGAAGAGTGACAGATGGAGCCAGTGAGGCAGAAGGTGGAGTCAACTCAAAACCACACTACCCTGGCGTGATAGAGAACACACATTATGAAGAAGGCTGTCGGGAGAAGGAGAGGGCTGGGCTGGAGGGCATCTGCAGAGAGAGAGAGAGAGAGATCCCTGACGGATTTCAATTCCAATCCAATCCAAAAGTGATTTGACAAACACCTTTTATTCCAAAATAAATCTCTACCCTCCACAACCAAAAAAGTCTAGCTCGAATATATCCACTATCTTCACCCACTGGGGATGCTGTAAGAGAATAGGGAGATTTATAAACAACAGAAATTTACTTCTTACAGTTCTGAAGGCTGGGAAGTCCAAGGTCAAGGTGCCGGCAGATTCAGAGTCTGGAGAGGGCTCATTCCTGGTTCCTACAGGGCCATTTTCTCCTGTGTCTTCCCATGGTGGAAAGGGCAAGGCAGCTCTCTGGGTTCTCTTTGTTAAGGGCACTAACCCCATTCATGAGGGCTCCACCCTTATGATCTCACCACCTCCCAAAGTCCCCACCTCCTAGTCCCATCACTTTGGAAGTTAGGATTCAACATATGAACATTTGCGGGGGCACAAATACTCACTCTGGCAACCACCAAATGAGCATCCTCTATGTGGGTGCCCCAGGAAGTGACACAGCGTTGTAGACAAAGCCAAACCTAAGATGAAGTGCAAGCTGACTTGTGACACATCCAGAATGGTTGAAACCATGAGGGGAGAAACCTTTAAAAGAACAATAACTTTGAAATACACGCAAAATACAATGATACCCTTTATCATCTAAAGATACACAAGCTAGGAACTTTAAAGTGGTCATTAACTCTACGAAAAAGTAAAAATTTCAATAATATCTTTATAGTATACTTGCAGACATGAAAAGCTGAGAACGAGAGTGATAATTTTTTTTTTTTTTTTTTTTTTGAGACTGAGTCTCGCTCTGTCGCCCAGGCTGGAGTGCAGTGGCCGGATCTCGGCTCACTGCAAGCTCCGCCTCCCGGGTTTACGCCATTCTCCTGCCTCAGCCTCCCAAGTAGCTGGGACTACAGGCGCCCGCCACCTCGCCCGGCTAGTTTTTTGTATTTTTTAGTAGAGATGGGGTTTCACTGTGTTAGCCAGGATGGTCTCGATCTCCTGACTTCGTGATCCGCCCATCTCGGCCTCCCAAAGTGCTGGGATTACAGGCTTGAGCCACTGCGCCCGGCCGAGAGTGATAATTTTACCATAAATATTCTTTCTCCAATTATAATTTATTTTTTATTTTTCTGCTGTAATTAGGTCCATTTTTAGTTCCTGCTGTTGTCTATCTGTTTCAATCCTTGTTCATCAATCTTGGTGAAGGATTGTCTCTTGTAGTGGTCTTTAAAAAAGAAAAAAAGATTTTTCTTTTATGAATTAACTCCACTTTTTGTTTTCTGTTCATTTGAGCTTTCATCTTTATTAATTCTTTCTCTTTATTGTCTTTGGTTTTATATTCTTGTTTTTTATCTAATTTCTTGTTGAAATCATAGGTTATTTATTTTCAGACTTGGTATTTTTCCAAATAATGAACATATTCATTATTCTGAAGAATCATATTGCACATATTTTGATATATTGTGTTCTTGTGCTTGTTCTAATAATGTGTTATTTCCATTTTGATTAACTGTTTGATTCAGTAATTGTTGAGATAAATGTGTTATTTAAATTACAAGTCCAGAGATTTTGTTTTTGCCATTATTTGGTTGATGGTTTCACATTTTATTGCATTATGACTTGTGAATGTGGCATTTAAGTATCATGGTAATCTTTAGAAATGTTTTAATATTTTACAAAGGGATACCTGCACCTCCATGTTTATTGCAGCACTATTCACAATAGCAAAGATATGGAATCAACCTAAGTGGGCATCAACAGATGAATGGATTAAAAAATATATGCTATATATACAAAAGGAAATACTATTAGGCCATAAAAAAGAATGAAATCATGTCATTTGCAGCAACACGGATAGAACTGGAGGTCATTATATTTAGTGATACAAGCCAGGCTCAGAAAGACAAATGTTACATGTTCTCACTCATATGTGGAAGCTAAGAAAGTTGATCTCATGGAGGTAGAGACTAGAATGATAGATACCAGAGGCAAAGAAAGGTGAGGTGGGAATGGAGAGATGAACAGAGGTTGGCTAATGGGCTACCAAACACACAGTTAGACTGAAAGAATTAAGTTCTAATATTCGATAGCAGAGTAGGCTGCCTCTAGTTAACAGCAATGTGTTGCATAATTCAAAATATAGCTAGAAGAGAGGACTTGAAATGTTCCCAACACATAGAAATGATAAATGCTTCAGATAATGGATATGCTAGAATCCTGACTTGATCATTATACATTCTACGCATTTAATGTCACATGTACCCCATAAATATGTACAAATACTACGTATCAATGTAAAAAAGAAAAAAATATATTAAATTTTATATGTGACCTAATATGTGGGCAACTATGTGAATGTTCTATGCGTGTTTGAAAGAAATTTGTATTCTCTATTTGTTCAGTATATATCATGCATTTTATATATCACCAGCCTTATTAATTATGTTATTTGCATCCCCTATAACTTTACTTGATTTTCTTGTTGGTTTGATCTGTTGAGAAGTAAGTTGAAGCATCTGACTATAATATTATATTTATCTATATTTCCCAGCAGTACTATCAACTTTGCTTTCTACATATGTAAGTTTTCTGTTATACACGTAATGGCCCATAATTATCATATATTATCTTAACAGGGAGTTTCTTCATCAACATAAAATATTCCTCTTTATTTTATTTGTTAGTAATGTTACCATCCCTATTTTTATTTTATTAGCCTTCCCTGATATATATCTTTACATTTTTCCTTTTGCTTTAAATTTTTCTATTTACATTATATGTATCTTGCTAGAAAACTGCATTAAACCGGATTTTTAAAAATCCAATTTGAAAGGAATGTGACTCATTCAAAAGTATTGTGATTGCTGATATGCTTAGAGTTACTCTAACAATGATGTGTGTGTATGTGTGTATGTCTCTATATGTATTCTATTTATTATGCTTTTTTATTTGATTTCTACCCATTTTTCTGCCTTTTGGTAATTCATTTGAGCTGTCTTCATTTGATTCAATTTTTTCTAATATTTTGAAAGTTATACCCTGGATTTCTATTTTCTGGTGTTTACCCTTAAAATTTTGTCAGCAATCCCTTGCATTTCTATAACAATATCTACAAATAATCAGTATCTATATTCAGCCTTAGATCAAACTAAGAACAAACTGACTGCCTATCCCTCCCTCGCTTCTTCACTGCCTCAGCCCTGCTATCCCCCATGATGGCATCTGAAATTTTTCTGGATGGTTTTCAACTTTTAAACATTTTTACAATAAACAACAAATCTTACTGGTTCCTTTTAACCTTATTATGTTTTCCTCCAGATTCAGTCTTTTCCTGTATTTGTTGTATGTAAGGTGCTCAATTATATAATGCCCATCTCAATTTTATTCAGATAAATGTAGGGAGAAAGTAATTGTGTATTTTTATTATGGAAGCATTGAGAGTTATTTGAAAGTGTTTTAAAAGTGATTTCATGAAGGAAAACACATTATTGTGCCGATATTATCATTTAGAAATGTTTGGCTTTGTTTAACAAAGAGCACACAAAATAGTAATTTAAAAGTATAGAAATGTATTTTTCTCTCAAGTGAAAGACAGCTCAATGGCAATGAGCCCAAGGCTAGTGTGGTCTCTGCATGATGTTAGGAATTCAGGCTTTTTCTATCTTATTGCTTCACAGACCAGGGCTGCTTCTTCTAATGCTGTCTCATGGTTCAATACGGCTGCCAGCACTCCAACCATCACATCTCTTTCCATGTAAAAGGAAAAAGAAGGGCATCCCACTCTTTAAAAGAGATTTCCCAGAACACAGTAATTCTATTTACATGTATAAGCTACTCTACCTGCAAAGGAGGCTAAAGAAATGAGAATTTTTTAACTGGGTAGCTATGTGCCCACATTAGAGCACATCATAATGAAATTTAAGAATAGCAGGAATAGAAGACCCTAAAAGCTTCCAGAGTGTAGAAAAATATCATATTAAAAATAAAAGATCAAATTCAAATGATTCAGAATCAGAATATCTATAGCAATACTGGAAGCTAATAGACAATGAAGCAATGCTTTCAAAGAAGGTAGAAAAACATTCTCCAATTTATAATTCTATAACCAACCAAACTGCCAAGAGTGAGAGTTCTTCATTTTCACAGGAAACTACCGAATGATACAGATCTCCAAAATAAGGAAGTAAACCAAGAAAAAGAAAGACATGTGACCCAAGAATCCCACCAAGAAAAGAGGTGAAGAAAAATCCCAGGATGACAGCTAATCGAATAGTTAACATTTTTGAACATATTCTAAAGAGATTTTCAGCTCTGTAGAAGAATTTAGGAATGGATTCACAATACACTAACAAGTATATAAACTAAGCAAATGAAAACAAAAGTATCAATCCAGGAGGAAGAAAAAAGAATTATAATCATAGCACCCTACATGGCTTAGCTATGAATAATATTTATATGCTCACACTAATATAAACACCCAAATAGTGACTTTTATGAAAAACTGTGATACAGCTCTATTGGAGGATGGGGGAAGGATAGTTTGTGTGTTTAGTGAGAGAGCACATGGGTGTGTAAAAGAGCTAAAATTTAATTATCTGTGGTTGAAAGTCAATCAATAACTCTTAAAACTGAGAAATCAAGAAATAGCTATATATGCAAGAAATGTAAAAAATAGAAGTAAATAGCAGATTAAATAGCTAAAAGAGTTGAGAGGGGTTGCTCTGGGGAGTGCAGATTTAGGACACAGAGAACAGGATAACAAACCACTCTCTTATGTTACCTAATAATATTTTTGTCTAAATAATCATAATAGTTTGTTAAACACCATAAATAAATATATTAATATTTTATATATCAGTATGTTAATATTTTTATATATCAATATGTTAATGTTTTAAAGGTATTAATGCCAGGCGATTTGGGATACTTTTTCCCTGCTGACAGGGGAGGAAATGGAGGAAGGCAGGCATCCTACACACTAGCCGAAGACAATAAGTCTTCCAAAGAAGAACTGGAAGGCTGGTAAATGTTCTGAACCCTTACTTGTCTGATATGGCTTCATTTTACCCTCACACTTGAATGATCATTTATGTTCAAAGCCATTTCCCCTCAGAGCTTTGAAAATATTGCTCCATTATTTTCTTATATCCAATTGTGCTGATGAGGAATGTGATATCAATCCAATTCTTGTTCCTATGCATAGTGGGTTGGAGTGAGTCACCCAAAAAGACACGTTCAAGTCCCAGTCCCAACCCCCAGCACTTGTGAGTGTGACCTTATTTGCAAGGAGGGTGTGTGCAGATATAATTAAGGATCTTGAGATGGGATATTTTAGGGTGGGCCCTAAATCCAAAGACTGGGGTCCTTATAAGAAGAGGAAAGAATGCAAGACACAGAGAAGGCTATGTGGAGATGGAAGCAAAGAGTGGGATCATGGAGCTGCAGGCCAAGGAGTGCCAAAGGTTGACAGGAGCCACCCGAGCTAGGAGAGAGGCATGGAACGGGCTCTCCCTCACAGCCTCCAAGAGGAATCAGCCCTTCTACACTTCAGAACTCTGATAATTAAATTTCTGTTGTTTGAAGCCACCCAGTTTGTAATAACTTGTTACAGAAGACCCAGTTGACCCTTGAACCACATGGGTTTGCACTGCACAGATCCACTTACAGGCAGGTCTCCTTCTGCCTCTGCCACCCCTGAGACAGCAAAACCAACCCTTCCTCTTCCTTCTCCTCCTCAGCCTACTCAACATGATGCTCCACTTCCACTTAGTAAATAATAAATAGATTTCCTCTTCTTCATAATTTTTTTTCTGTTTTTTCTTTTCTTTTTTTTTAGAGACAGGGTGTTGCTCTGACCCCCAGGCTGGAGTGCAATGCCACCATCAGAGTTCACTGCAGCCTCAAACTCCTGGCCTCAAGCTATCCTCCTGCCTCAGCCTCCCAAAATGCCAGGATTAGAGGCATGAGCCACCACACCTGGCCCTGTGATTTTCTTGATAACATGTTCTTTTCTCTGGCTTCCTTTATTGCAAAGATATAGTATATAACACATATGACATACCAAGTATCTGTTAATCAACTGTTTATCTTATTGGTGAGTCAACAGCAGGCTATTAGTAGTTAAGTTTCAGTGGAGTCAAAATTTACATGTGGATTTTTTACTATACAAAAGGTCAGCGCCCCTAACCCCCAAATTGTTCAAGGGTTAACTGCGCTATGTATGTAAGTTTTGTTTTTTTGTTTTTGTTTTTTCTCTCACTCTCTCTCTCTCAGGAGACTTCTAGGACTTTTCCTTTATCTTTGTTGTCCTAAAAATCTCACTTACATGTCCATGTTTGTGTTTTGTTTTGTTCTGCCAGCTACGTGTGGGCCCTTTAAATCTGAGCACTTATGTCTTTCTTTAGTTCTGGAAAATTCTTTTGCTAATTCTTTCAGTGTAACCTCCTCTCCATTATTTCTATTTTATCCTCCTGGTACTCCTTATTTAAATGTCGTCGGTGTTGACTAACTGTCCTTTTACCCTGTCTGTCATCTTACCTTCTGCATCATTCCTGGAGAAATTCGTGCCTTGACCTTTCGGCTACTCTCTCTTCATCTATGCTCATCCCGCAATTCAATCCACCAATTCTGAGGTTTTTGTTCAACTAGCAAAATTTCCATTTTCATAATCTCTAGCTAATTCTTTTTTTTTCTTTTTTTTTTTTCTTTTTTTGAGACAGATTCTCACTCTGTTGCCCAGGTTGGAGTGCAGTGGCATGATTTCAGCTCACTGCAACCTCCGCCTCCCAGGTTCAAGTGATTCTCCTGCCTCAGGCTTTTGAGTATCTGGGATTATAGACGCCCGCCACCCTGCCCACCTAATTTTTGTATTTTTAGTAGAGACGGAGTTTTACCGTGTTGGCCAGGCTGGTCTCGAACTTCTGACCTCAGGTGATCCGCCCGCCTCGGCCTCCCAAAGTGCTGCGATTACAGGTGTAACCGCACCCAGTCACTAATTCTGATTGTATAGATCCAAATGCTTTCACATATTTTAGAGGAAATTGATTTTTCTTACCCTAAAGTCCTTTCTACTTATGCTGTTCCCTCTGTCTCCTCAGAGTTAATTCCCTCACTTGTCATCTGGATGCTCCTGCGTTATGACATCAACTGTCCCCAAACATTTGGCCATTCTTGATTCTGCCTTCCTCTCCGAGGCTGAGCACTGGCAATTCTGTTTGCTCACCCTGCTTGAAGAGAAAGGAAACAACTGTTGAGAGCAGAAGATGGTCATGGCCACACACCCCTGTCACCCGGGAGTGAAGGATCCTCGTTCCTTCTAAGACTTGCCCAACCCCAGGAAACCCCCTGTTTGATACCAAACCTATCACAGGCACCTGCCCCAGGCATCCACTCCTGTGGATACTACGTGGCCGATGGCAGAAGCAAGAAACTACGTAAGGGCCACTTGTTGCTCCTGCTGTGATATGCCAGCCAGTCACCTGTTCACTGTCCCGGTGACGCACTTCCCTGTCACCACCAGACCAGCCACCTCCACCTCAAGGCCCTCTCAGGGTCAGGCCCACTGCTGTTTCCTTGGTTAATCTGCTCCCACCATCTCCTTTCCATCTTCCCTCGTGGGTTACAGCCCAGCTTATTATTCTTTTTTTCTTTTTTTTTTTTTTTTTTGAGATGGGGTCCACTCTGTCACCCAGGCTGGAGTACAATGATGCAATCTCAGCTCACTACAACCTCCATCTCCTGGGTTCAAGTGATTCTTATGCCTCAGCCTCCAGAGTAGCTGAGATTACAGGCTCCCACCACCATGCCTAGCTAATTTTTGTATTTTTAGTAGAGACGGAGTTACACCATGTTGGACAGGCTGGTCTCGAACTCCTGACCTCACGTAACCCACCCGCCTCGGCCTCCCAAAGCGCTGGGATTACAGGCATGAGCCACCACACCCAGCCTCAGCTTATTATGCTTGAGCATGTATAAGAACTTTGCCGAAAGGCTTTTCTTTACGTCTATGTCTTTTTGGAGAGAGAGAGAGGTTGTTGGGTGTCCTCAGAATGCCATTGTCTCATACCTTCTGAAGGCCTTTCTATTTCTAATCAGTAGAAAAGTCCAGAACTATCTTCTGATTCTGATATTCACAGATATTAACTGAGCTCTTCCACGATGTCGGGCAATTTGTTAACTCTTCATGTGCATCATCTTATTGAATATGGCAACCCATACAGGTAGTAAAATTAATATGCACATTTAATAGAGGGGCGAACTAAGGCCAGGAGAGGTTACTTGTCTCTGATCACAGAAGAACTAGTGAGTAGTAGAGGTGGAATTTGAGTCTGGATGCGGCTAATTCCAGAATCCAAGCATTTGGGCCCTCTGCTTGTTAGCCTTCAATGATGTTGCTTATGCCATATCCTATTTCTTGGTATTGGTTTGTGCCTTTGTTAAAGAAGATTAGTGTAGAGTCATGGGTCTCACTGGGAGTGACTTTTTTCTTCCACAACATGTGACAATGTCTACAGACATATCTGGTTGTCACAACACGGGAGGAGGTGTGCATGCTGCTGGCATCTAGAGAGCAGAGGCAGGGATGCTACTAGATATTCCATAACACACAAGTCAGTCGCCTGACAAAGAAGTAGTCAGCCTCAAATGTCAGTAATGCTAAGTGCCACCAGTAGATACCCCAGTGTAGACCATCTGAAACCTCTTCCAGCCTTGAAAGCTCATGGTGCTCTTCCAGAGTTTCCCGGTCAGCGACATCAGTGTTAAGCGCAGGAGGGTGTCTCCAGAAGACCCTCGCAGCCCAGGCTCACCAATGTCTCGAGAGAATAGATTTCAAAGGTGATGGCTGTGAGCCACTCCCATGCCTGAGAGCTCCAGTGGTCCACCTTCTGCCCTGGGGACTCCAGCCTCATGGACTCCAGACTCCACACAAGCCTCAGCACTGTGTTCACGTTCACCATGTGGATCCCCATGAGGCAAGATGTGAAGACTGCAATCCAAACGCTGGGGTTCTCCCTTGCTGTTTTCTTTCTCTCCATTTTAAACAGGCAGCCAGACTCTGTTCAGCTTCTTAGTCTCAAGGATCTCTGCAGGATGGAAAGCAGAAAAGTCCCTCAACAGTCAGGGAGAGGTGAGCCAGATTTAAATGACAGTACCTAGGGGAGGCGGCCAGATCTTGGGGGCACACTGAAGTGTGGTGCACCTGGGGAGCCAGCCCCTAAGCCTGGGAAATCCAGCCCTGCCAAAGAAGTGCAGGGCCCCAAACAGGCCTCTGCAGCAGGGGGATCTGGGAATTCTCCCAGGCAACCCAATCAGCCTGGGGCCGGATTCAGTAGAGACACATTGCCCCAGACTGGAGGACCTCTGGAGGGTCTTACGCAGCTGTGTTCAGGGTGAGGGGCAGAAACTTAAAGCACCACTGTACCCTGCCTGAACTGCAGTCACAGGAAAAGAGGGAAGACGAAGACAGAAGCCAGCTAGCAGAACTGGGGGGCAGGGACCAAGCCTGGGCTCCTCTCCACCTTGTTATTGGACCAACCGTGGCCAGTGCCATTCCAGAGCCACCCTGGGACTGGCGTGAGGCATCTTCCAGCTGTTCTCTGACCTCTAGCTCCCATGGGCTTATCTGAAAATACCTGCCTGCCTTTCCCTTCCAGTTCCACTTGGGAAGCCTGATCTCATCCAGTGAATAAAACAGGAACAGAGGCGTGGGAGGTAGCGAAAGCACCCATGGGACGCTGTCCTGGTCCCAGCTTGCCTAGTCTCACGGTGGTGGTAGAGTGAACCAACCCGACTTTCTTCTCTATTCTCTGCCTGCTGACAGCAACAAAGGCCAGGAGGAAGAGGCCTTACAGCTAAAAGCTTCCCTTGGAGCCCATCTCAAATTCCCTGCAGGTGTGGGGAATCCTCACAGCCCGATTCCTGGTGGCCTCTCTCTGTGCAATGGCAAATGGAGAAATAAAATCTTAGTTTATCAGACCCTGGCTTTAGAACTCAAGTCCCATTTCTCTATGGACCCACAGGAATATTTTGGAGATCGTTAATCTTCATTTCTGATTGATTTTCTGTCAATATATCCCCCACCCCAACCTTTCCATCAAGTAGTTAATGAGCTGTAAACAAACACTTGGATGCACCCAGGGAGGGGTTTTCCAAGAAGCCTTTTGAACGGTGAACCAAGGTGGGGCAGTACAAACCACACCCTCTGGTTTGCTGTGGGTGCATTTGTACCTCTAGTTTTTCTCACACGGGGTTCCCCAGGACTGGTGAAGTGAGAAGGGTCCCCCACCTCCTGGAGGCAAAGCAAGTAACAATTACTCACCATAAAGGGGAGTGCCCTGAATAAACCCCAATCTCTCCCCTCTGCCTCCCGCTCCAAGTATAGCCGCTTCTCTGGGTCAAGGGCTCCGGAAGGTTCACCTGCACGGGAGGTGGCAGAACCCAGGAGCACCGTAGGTATCAGACCCCCTCCTGGCAGGGCTTAGATGGATAGAGCTGGGAAAAGTGTGAAGCCTGTATTCCCGTGACAGGAGAGGCCTGGGCCCACCCACATGGCACCGCATGGCCAGAGTGGCGCTGGAGCTTCCCGAGGGGCCTGAAGACTTAGAAGGTCCCAAAGATGACAGTAGTGGAGACTCCGTGCCGGAACCCACAATCTGGTCTGCGTCAGCCCTGGGAGTGTCATGCAAGACGCCTCACCGTGGGTCTCAGTTTCCCCATCCATCCTGCTTCCCTCCCAGTGTTAGAAGGATCCGGGGACACACGCTTGGGAAACGTCTAACGGTGTCACAGACGTCAGAGGGACCCCGCTGGCCTCCAGGATCACAGATCTGTCCTCCCCACCCGCCAAGGCCCAGGAGTTCCTCTGCAGCCCGCCTGAACGTTAACACGCAGGGAAAACTTCAAGGAAAACATACAGCTGATAAAAATTTAATGCTATATGTAACAAAGCAGAATGAATATTTAATCCGTGCTTTTATGCGAAACCACATAACCAGGCAGCCCCACGCGGTGCCCCTCCCCTCTCCCGCGCCCGGCAGCGAAGCAGTTAAGCGGCCGGCAACAAGCAGCTCCTAATAAACACTCGGCTAATTCTGTAGGAAAAGCACTAATTAGAAAAGCAATAATAATCGGTGTAATTGCTCTAAATTACCCTCCTAACAGAGAACGGCGCTCGGAGCCCGGAACGCAGCTGCCGCCGCCCAGCCCTGTGCGCCGCGCCGGCGGCCCTGCGCTCTGCTGACCCCTGGCGGCCGCCGCGCGCCGAACCCGCTGGACTGCGAAGAGCCGTCGCGCGAAACCCGACGCTCTGGCGCCCCCTGGTGCCCGCATGGCCGCACTGACTCGCGGACAGACGGGAGGCCTGAGGATTCAGGATGGCTCCTTGGACTCTCCCCACGCCTCCCGGCTCTCTGTTTCTCCCCAGGGCTGCTAAGGAACCAACATCACACTGGCTGGCCCAAGGAGGAGAGGAGAGGGCCAAAACAGTAGTGGGATACGTGAACCTCTAAAGGGTTACCGGAATTCGGGATGCTGTGAACTTAGGGGATTGCTTTGGGCACGCGGTTGATGGAGGGAAGGAGGACCCTCCCCAAGTGTAGGAGGTCAGGATTTTAGGGAGATGACACATTCAAGGGAGAGGGCCAGGACAGACTGGGCAGGGCTGCTTTTGAGAGGCCTGAAATTAACAAGGACGCTGCGTCTTTCTGGTGGATTTGCAGACCACTGACAGGGTAGTTAACAAGAGCCTTTCATCCCTGCCTCAAACGCTACTGGGCTTGGCCTCGGTTTTCAGGGTAAGTTTGGGACCTCAGCTTGTGTGCGTCTCAGCCTTCCTCAGACCAAACCACAGTCATTGACTTGATCTCCCTGCTCAGCTGTCAGTCTTACACAGATACACACATATACACACACATGCAAATACAAACATATACATACATACACACATCTAACATATACATACATACACATATGCATACATATACACGCTTATACATATACATACATTTATACATATACATACATACACATATACATACACACTTATACATACATACACACATACACATATACATACACTTATATACACATATACATACATTTATACACATACTTATATGCATGCATACACTTATACACACGTATACATACACACATTTATACACACATACATATACATACATACACATATTCATACACTTATACACACATACACATATACATGCATACACATACATATACACACATACACACAGATATAAACACATATACATGTATACAAGCATGCACACACACACATCCATATACACATACACACATATGCATATACCTACACACATGCACACATATACACATATACTTATATGCATACACACATGCACACATATACACATACACACATACTCATATATATGCATACACATACATGTACACATACATACAGACATATACACGTGTACATAGATGCACATGCACACACCACACTGGGAACTGCTGAGGGGCAGGCCCCTCTTGGTGCCTGACGCCTGGAGTAGCTACTCACTAAATGCTGGATGAATCAATACCCGGAAAAGGCTGGATGCCGACCTGGGGGAAACAGCACCTGGGGATAGGAAAGCAGGGCATAAAGCTGTGGCCTAAAGTACCAGCAAGAACCAGAGAGGGATCCACTGATGCCCTGCGGGACAGAGGACCCTGCTGGCTAGGAGGTCAGGAAAGACCCCTGGAGGAGGCAGGGTCTCCACTGGCCCCTGGAAGCTGACACTAGAGGCTTAGAATGAAGACCTGGAAGCTCGGAGGGTTTCTAGTACCCCCCAATCCCTCAGTAAGGGGAACAGGGAGGGGTGGCCACCAGCCCTCACATAACCGTACCCCTTCCTGACACCAGGGCAAAATCCCACCCTCTTCTGTTTTAAAGCAAGCTGAGGGGGTGGTCAATGTAAAGAGGGTTGTCCCTCCTACCCACTGCACTGATGCCCTGGTGCTGCATTGATGCCCTGCCTGGGACCTGCACTGATGCCCTGGCACTGCACTGATGCCCGGGACCTGCAGACCTCCCACACGCTCCTCATCTCCACCTGCCAATCACCAACCAGATGGAGTCCGCTGAGAGTCTTGCTCCTCCTGCCTCTGTCCCCAGGCCTGGGACCTGAGTACTTCAGTGCTGAAAAAAAGCCGACCAAGGAGTCCTGGCTGGAAACCAAGGCATGTGCTGTCCTGCCAACCCCCATGCAGCCTTCCCACAAGGCTGAAGCTTTTGCTAGAAAACACCCCACAAGGTAAGAGAATGGGCATTGATGACAGGAAATGGGCATTTCCCCCCCCTCCAGAAAACCTTCCCTGACTTACCCATCATTATAGGACAACCTTGGAATCTATGGCATAACCTGAGAAATATGGCTTCTCTATCATATGATTGATCTAAATCAGTGGTTTCAGAGTGAGCCTCTTGCTGGCAGGTTCTATCCATGGGTCTCGGTGGGAAATGTATGGATGAGGAGGGGACAAGGGCTTCTGGGTCCCATCCCTCCTTAAACAAACAGCTCCACCTTCACCTCTACAGAGGCCATACGGCCTGGTAACCACATGCCTAGGCTAGGAACCAGGCTACCTGGGTTCAATTCCTAGCCTTTTCACTGACACTGTGTGACTATGAGCAAGTTTCTTAACTCCTCTGTGCCTCATTTGCCTCATCTATAAAATTAGGATGTTAGTAGTAGTAACCTAACTCAAAGGATTGTTGGGAAAAGTAGTTGAATTAACACAGGTAAAGCACTGAATTAACACAGGTAAAGTAATTGAATTAACACAGGTAAAGTGTCTGGCATACGGTAAACACTCAATAAATGTTAGCTATTAATATTATCTGGTTTATACAATGGAATTGTACATATGCTTGAAATAAGACCAAAAGATGTTTGAAAAAACCACCGCATTTCATGATCTCCAAGGTCCCTTCTGGTTCTAAAATTTAATAATTTTAAGGTGATATCTTTTAACTGTCACTTTTGCATCTCCAAGCCTAGCACCTGCTGTTCTCTGCCAGATACACCATTTCCTACTGTCCACCTAGTGAACACTGACTTCTCCTTCCAGCCTCAGTTTAACAGCTGCCTCCTCCAGGAAACATTCTCCCCTGCTCCAGGCAGAATCGGTCCAGTCTCTCCCTCCCACAGGTTCCTGGCACACTTTAAAAATATCACCGAGTCCCTAATACCTATGGTGTCCCACGCATCTGTTTCCTTTTCGCCCTTCTGCAGGACCCACGGACTCCTGGAGAGCCTACTCATGTCTACAGGCCCATGCCTGGGCTAGAACAGGCAATGTACTCAGCAGTTTTTTGTTTTTTGGTTTTTTTTCTTTGAGATGGAGTCTTGCTCTGTCACCCAGACTGGAGTGCAATGGCGTGATCTTGGCTCACTGCAACCTCCACCTCCCGGGTTCAAGCGATTCTCCTACCTCAGCCTCCCAAGTAGCTGGGACTACAGCCACGCACCACCACACCTGGCTAATTTTTTTGTATTTTTAGTAGAGACAGGTTTTCACATGTTAGCCAGGATGGTCTCAATCTCCTGACCTCGTGATCCACCAGCCTCGGCCTCCCAAAGTGCTGGGATTACAGGCATAAGCCACCACGCCAGGCCACTTTTCAGTTTTATAGTGAGGAAACTGAAGCACAGAGGTGTGAAACAAATGGCTGGAAACACTCACTGAGTCAGAGCTGGGAGGAGGAACCAGGCCTCTGGACCGCTAGACAGGCTCTGAGGCTTCTCTCAAGGGAAAGGGGCAGGGCAGGGAGGGTGTCACCATCTCAATTCCAGGGCAGGCTTTGGCACAGCCAGGTGGGGCAGGTGGGGGCATCTCTATTAGGGCTGAGAAGGACTTAGATGAGGGACCAGCCCTACCACCAAACACAGAGGCAGTTCCATCGCCGATGGGGTCTGGGAACGCCATCTCATATCTGGACTATTGCTGTAGCTTCTAACTAGCCTCCCCGCTTGCCTCATGTCCCCGCCTCTACCCCTCCACCTGCCACATGGCAGCCACAATGACCTGGTGAAACTTGAGTCGAATCAGGTCCCTCCCTGCTCAAAACACTCACAGCCCATTTTATTCACCATTAAAGCCAAAGTCCTATCAATGACCTCCAAGGCCCCACAAGCTTGAATCCAACCACAGCTTCTACATTTCTCCTCCCTGCTCATTCTGCTCCAGCCAGGCTGGTCCACTCAATAGACACCAAGCACAGTCCCATCTTGCACCGCTGCCCTTCCCTCTGCCTACAATGCCCTCCTGCAGACAGCCATGCGGCTCACTCACAGCTTTCAGATGGCTGCTCAAGTGCCCCTCCATGAGGCCTACCCTGACCACCCTATCTAAAAGAACAGCCCACGGTGCCCCACACAGAATGCCTTCACCTTACAAATAATATACATCTATTTCTTTATCTTTGTCTTCCCCACTGGACTAGAGGCTCCACAAAAGCAGGCAGTTTGCCTTTTGTTCTCTGATGGAGCCCCACATGTGAAATTGTACCCAGCATATAATGTGAGTTCAATAAATGCTAAGTTAATTAAACAGTTGTAAAGTCACAAGGAAATGAATTTCTAATGGTGGAATTTCAGGCAGCACATGCATTGTTGATGGACATGGCACAGTGTCAAGCACATGGTGGGTGCCTGAAACTATGGAGTGAGGGGCCTTCCTTGGCCTGCCTCCTCACTAGAAAAGCATGCTCTGTACGGCCACCATTCTGTTGTTGAATTGTTTGTTGGTTGGTTGATTTTCTGACTGTGTGTCTTGGGGGCACACCC